AAGGTAGGCAGACAATGTAATAGAGCAGCAGGAAAAACTAGCAGAATGCTTGGTTGTATAGGGAGAGGTATTGGCAGTAGAAAGAGGGAAGTGCTCATGCCATTGTACAGAACACTGGTGAGACCTCACTTGGAGTATTGTACACAGTACTGGAGACTGTATCTTCAGAAGGATATTGATACCTTAGAGAGGGTTCAGAGAAGGGCTACTAAACTGGTTCATGGCGGGATAAAACTTACCAGGAAAGGTTAAAGGATCTTAACATGTATAGCTTGGAGGAAAGACGAGACAGGGGGGATATGATAGAAACATTTAAATATATAAAAATCAACACAGTAAAGGAGGAGACTATATTTAAAAGAAGAAAAACTACCACAACAAGAGGACATAGTCTTAAATTAGAGGGACAAGGTTTAAAATAATATCAGGGAAGTAGTATGGATTACATGGGGCCAGCTGCTTCAGCTGAAGTGAGTAGAGGTTAACACAGTAGGAGCTTAAGCATGCGTGGGATAGGCATAAGGCTATCTAACTATGAATAAGGCTAGTGACCTAATGAAAGTATTTTGAAAATTGGGCAGACTAGATGGGCGGGAATGGTTCTTATCTGCCGTCACATTCTATGTTTCTATCTCATCCGTACTCTGTCTTCTTCTCTTTCTCCACCTCTCACTAAAATTCTCAATCTCTCTCTCTCCTCTGGTATATTTCCATCGTCTTTCAAACATTCAACTGTAACCCCAATGCTAAAGAAGCCCAATCTTGACCCTAACTCCCCATCCAACTATCGCCCTATCTCGCTACTGCCTTTTGCATCCAATATCCTTGAAAGAATTGTGTATGCGAGATTGACAGACTTCCTCGAGTCCAACTCTCTGCTAGACCCACTTCAGTCTGGTTTCCACACTAAGCACTCTGTGGAAACAGCACTGACCAAAGTATCCAATGATCTACTCGCTGAAAAATCTCGTGGTCACTACTCTATCCTAATTCTCCTTGACCTGTCTGCGGCTTTTGACACTGTTGATCATCAACAGCTTCTTCTCATCCTCTGCAATATCGGTCAACAAGATATTGCTCTCTCCTGGTGCTCCTCTTACCTCTCCCAGTGCTCTTTCAGTGTTTCTTTCTCTGGCTCTCCTTCTTCTCCTCTCTGTTGGTGTCCCCCAAGGTTCAGTCCTTGGTCCCCTACTGTTCTCAATCTATACTGCCTCCCTTGGTAAACTCATTAGCTCCTTTGGCTTCCAATATCATTTCTATGCAGATGACATGCAAATCTACCTGTCCTCTCCTGATCTCTCCCCGATCCTCTTGACTAGTGTCTCTGACTGCCTCTCTGCTGTTTTTAACTGGATGGCTGCCCACTTCCTTAAACTAAACTTGACCAAAACTGAAATTCTGGTCTTTCCTCCCTCAAGTGTTGTTACTCCTGTGTCTGTCTCCCTCCAAGTCAACGATGCTACCATCAGCTCCACCATGCAGGCTCCCTGCCTAGGTGTTCTCTTTGACTCCGACCTCTCCTTCAAGCCTCATGTTCAATCTATCGCCAAATCCTGTCATTTCCATCTCAAAAACATTCCACTGTCCTTTCTTGCCTTGACTACTGTAATCCGCTTCTCAGTGGTCTTACGTACTCCCAACTTGCGCCGTTACAGTGCGTAATGAATGCAGCGGCGAGGCTCATCTTCCTGTCCTCCCGCACCGCCCATGCCTCACCCTTCTGTCAGTCCCTACATTGGCTTCCTATAAAATATAGAGCTCAATTTAAAATTCTGGTTCTTGCTTTCAAATCTCTACATAATGCTGCTCCCACCTTATACACAAGTATGTCCTGTCTAGGCCCTTACGATCTGCTGAAGACTTACGTCTATCTTCTGTACGTACTCCCACCTCTGATGCTCACCTTCAAGATTTCTGGAGGGCTGCACCATTCCTATGGAACTCACTTCCCTCCTCCGTTAGATGCTCACCCAGTCTCCATTCCTTCAAAAAATTGTTAAAAACCCACTTCTTCATAAAAGCGTATCAATTAAACTGTTTAAACACATCAATTAAACACAGATACAAAGACACACATACAGGTATATACTGACACACATACGGATACACACAGACACACATAAAGGCACACACAAATAAATACATACAGACACACATAGAGATGCACACTGACACACATATAAATACACAGACACACACAGTGACACACATGCAGACACTCATATGCACCGGTGGTAGACGGGGAAACAGATGTCCCTTATAAAGTGAGACAGGCCAGTAATTTAAAATGATTTGAAAATGAATTTCGAATTTATAGCCAAAATTGTCAAACTAAAAACAGAATTGTATTTTGTGGTCTAAATTTTACGGTGTATGTATATCATGCCCCTGTATTCTCACTGCTCAATTCCCTGCTATTTAGGATTTAAATTACTTTGTTTTGCAGCCCTAGCCACACCTCCCCCAGTTGTGACTCACAAAACCTGGTTGGAAAAAAGGTTTTGTTTTCAATCAAATCTTGGAGCACATAGTGTTTACTTTAGAAGTTCTTATTTGCTGCTTCGTTTATTGAACTTTTGTCACATGCACATACCTTCCAAGTGCCCCTGTTTAGGATACAATCCCTATTTTGAGCCTAAATCCCACTGTCCCTCTTTTGCTCCATATGGTTGGTATGTCTGAGTGTATAACAGAGCTCTGCTGCAACCATACTCACAATAATATGTCTTACAACTAGAATAAATGTGTTTAGAAACCAGTCTGTGCAAATAAGATGCATTGCTCTTGTTATATTACACTTTAGTTTTATAAATTGTTATTAGTAAGTCACCTAAAATTTTTCAGAAGATCCCCGCTGATGGAAATTAATTGTTTTACATATGCAATACTTTACGAATATTCGCCTAGACATACTGAGCTATATAAATAAATATATGTAAACCTATGGTTGCATTGCATAATGAGACGTGGCTTTAATAACATATGTTATCCTGTATGGAGCAACACAAAATAGGTGTGGAAATCAAGTGACGCTTTGTGATAAAAGAGTTAGATTATTTAGTTTAGCTGCCAATTACACTCAGTGGATACTCCAAAAAATCCAATCTAACATAAAAAAAAACAAATAACTAATAGTGGGTTGGTATGACCACTAGAGTTGAGTGGACACCTGCATGTTCGGGTCGGGCGGGTTCGGACGAACTTTGAAAAAAAGTACGGGGTCGTGATTGAACTTGACCCCGAACCCCAGTGAAGTCTTTTGGCCACAAAAATGCCTCTAAAAAAGTCCTGGAAAGGACTAGAAGGTTGCAAAAGGAAGTAAAATGGGGGTAAGAGTAGGACAAGTGCCCTGCAAACAAATGTGGATAAGGAAATAACTTAAAATAAAATAATAGTTAAAAATACAGCTGAGCCATAAAATAGCACTAGATAGAATCTTTGATTTTAGATTTGGAAGAACATAAATCAAAATCTAAAGCATGGCTGTCAGGAGGATACACAGAATTATCCATTTGAGAGAGGGTTGGAGTCCAGGGTATTCTCTTTCATTCTTCAAACTGAGCTTCACAAGCCTCTGCTATTGTGTACATAGTTTATACTAAGTGACCCATAGGTTGAGGAGGCGGTGACCGTGGCGGTGGAGGAGGAGGATGAGGTAGCCAACACTGTTTTATATATATATATATATATATATATATATATATATATATATATATATATATATACATATATATATATATATTTTTTTTAATTGGGGTAGCCCCCAAAATATTGGGGCATATAAAAAAAGAAAACTGTTCCGCAGAGCAACTGACCCGTGCGTGCTGCATCTGAAACTCCACTATCGCCTGCTGCTGCTCGCACATTCTCATGAGGCGGTGAGTGGGAAGGCCAAACTTACGCTGCAACGCAGACAGGCGAGCAGCAGCAGGGTGAGAATGCCGAAAGCGCGCACAGACGGCACACACTTTCTGCAGCAGCTCTGATATACCTGGGTATACACCGTGGCGGTGTAGAGGAAGCAGCGGTGGAGGAGGAGGCGGCAAAGCTTTTATTTGGGTACAAAGCTGTGTACCCAAATAAAGATTGTCAAACATTGTATCCTGGAACTGTGTCCAATCCGGTTACTGGGGAAATGGGTCTGACCTATTCTAATCAAAGGGGATAACCATCGGTTACCCAGGTCCCGCTTCAATTGGTGGCAAGCGGCGGGATGCCATGTTCCTGCCAACAGACCCATGGACTACACTGCAGGACTTGTGAGGAGCCAGAGGAATAACGCCTGGTGGGTGTAACAAGGCCAAATTGACTGCTGCGCTCATGGAGGACGACCAGGCACACAGTGAGGCAACGAACCCCAGCTAGGGGCCGGGGATGAGGAGGAAGTGCGCAAGGAGGTGGAACGGCGCCTGGCATATTATCGAGAGCCACCCTCAGAGGAGATTGTCAGCAGGACCTTTTTGGAGGTGCAAGCCTATGTCCTTGCCAATAGACAGAGGGTGACCACCATGAACCCAGATGAAGGAAGAAGGGAGCAGAGGGCGCCGGGAAGCACAACCACCCTGGCCCATAAGCTACTATACAATGCCTTCAAAGACTTCAAGGAAGGCATCAATGACTTTTTACAAGACTTTGAGTGCCAGTGCCTACTGGACCCCAGCGACTGGGTCACCATCCTGGCTAGCAAACTAGTGGGGAAAGCAGCGGATATTTACTGAGCTGTACCAGAAGAGCAGGTCAGAGACTATCCCTTTATTACACTAATCCTCCTGGCCCGGTATGCGGTCACCCCTGAGCAATACCACCGAAAGTTTAGGGAGACCCGGAAAGGGGAAAAGGACTCCCTTGCGGAGTGGGCATGCCGCATCACAAGGGCCACCCAGAACTGTCTCAACTCCCATCAAGCCAAGTTCCTGGAGGAGATCACCCAGCTCGTCACGCTAGAGCACTTTTTAAATGTGCTCCCAACGACAAGGCGACGACGCATTCGTAAGTTAATCCATATCAACTTTCGATTGTCATTTACTGCGCCTACCATGGTGACCACGGGTAATGGGGAATCAGAGTTCGATTCCTTACAGGGACCCTGACAAATGGCTACCACATGCAAGGAAGGCAGCAGGCGCGCAAATTACCCACTCCCGACGCGGGGAGGTAGTGACGACAAATAATACAGGGCTCTTTAGAGGCCCTGTAATTGCAATGAGTCCACTTGAAATCCTTTAACTTTGATCAATTGGAGGGCAAGTCTGGTGCAGAGCGATTGACCCATGCGTGCTGCAGATGAAACTCCACCATCACCTGCTGCTGCTCGCACAGTCTTTCCAGCATGTGCAAGGTGGAGTTCCACCTTGTGCAAGGTGGAGTTCCACCTTGTGGGCACGTCGCATATGAGGCGGTGAACGGGAAGGCCAAAGTTATGCTGCAGCACAGACAGGCAAGCAGGGTGAGAACGCTGAAAGCGCGCACAGCTGCTACAGTGAATGTCACATCCTGTTCCAAGTTGCGGATCAGTCTGGTGATGGCTTCTGCTATCCAGTACTCTTTTTACTGAAGCTGCATCAGGGTCCTGGTATGTGGCCTTACAAACGCTGGTGCTCAACACCAGGGGGTGTGCGGTTACCCTGCACCAGACCCTGCTAATCCATTCCACACTGTGACTCCTAACTTCAACATCAGGCATACTGGGTCCCGGTCATCCGACCATCGCCCATACAGAGTCTGTGTCCTGGTCACCGGACTGCGAAACTGCGAATGGCTTGTTAAATCTGTTATGGTTCCTTTTATCGCTCCATCTGTTACTTGGATAACTGTGGGAATTCTAAAGATAATACATGTTGACGAGCGCTAGGGGACGGCCGCTCCACTATTGCACCCTGCTCCCTATTATGCTGTGCTGGTGCCTCTGTGCGACCAGCAACTCTTCCTCCAAACTGCACACGTCACTCGCATGACCTTGATTCCATGTGGGGTCTAGGACCTCATCATCCTCCACATCATCTTCCACCCACTCCTCAACCCTGCCCTCCTTGCCGGTCTGCACACTGCAGAAAGCCACAGCAGTTGGCACCTGTGTTTTTCCAGCATGTGAAGTCTGCAAAGGACATATGAAAAGTGTTTTAGAATTGTATCCAGGCAACAGTTTTCCCTATAAACTGACCTCTCAGTTTGACTTGTGAGGGTATTGCCCCCTAATTACAATATTGTTATATTGGTATTTGACGCTTCTATTTGACTCTCAGATATGAAGAGCACGCCCAAAATGTACTATTTAGCAGTTTAGGAGCAAAACAATTAGAATGTTTACAACTGTGCTGTAAGCGCACTATTTGATGGTTCTATTTGACTCTCATATATGAAGTGCACCCCACTAATGTACTTTTTAGCACCCAAAAATTTTTATGTTTTAAAACTGCAATGTGACAGCAATATTTTACGCTTCTATTTGACTCTCAGATATGAAGTGCACCCCACTAATGTACTAGTTTGCAGAATTCTTTCCTAATCTGTCCCTGAAAGCAGCAGCATCCTCTCCCTACACTAATAAGCGCTCATGTGACGTGCAGCGCTACGTGACTCCAGCTTATATAAAGAGGCTGGGTCACATGCTGCACTGGCCAATCACAGCCATGCCATTAGTAGGTCAAATGGGTCAAACGCTTGTTGATTGGCTGCGTTGCAGCCTTTGAAAATACACCATTAAATCGCAGAACACCGAACTCCAACCCGAACATACAGTGATATGTCCGTGTTCGGGTCCGGGGTCCGGTATGAACCCGAACTTTACAGTCCAGGTTCGCTGAACTCTAATGACCACCTTCCCACTTCTTAGTAAGAGTGCAGCGCTATAGGTGTGATTCCAGAGTAATTAAATGCAAAACATACACTTACCCCTCAGAGTGGACAGGGGGTATAAATTCAAAAGACAAAAACAGAGAAAATATACATAGAGTAATATTGTATAACACCAAATTTTAGTTAGTTTTTACGTTCAGTGAGTAGAACAAAACTCACATTTTTAGGAGCCTTTTATATAGGATCTAAACACTTCTGCATCTGTGCCTTTAAGGTAGGCAACAGTCCCCTTTTCATATAGCTTGTTCCTCCCTTTTTTCCCTCAGCAAGTGTTAATCTCCAGACTAAACAAGAGAGAGAAGGAACTTCTGGGTGCAGATTTAACTATAACAATGGTGCACAGTATTATATATAAGAGGTAAGTGCTCACCTACTTAAGAGCCTTTTGATAACTGGCTCTAAGTATTTGTAGTATTTGTGTCAATTTTTTGGGGTGACACTGCCCCCAACCGGACCCAAGATGCAAGGTAGAGATGGAGGTAGGTATATTTAAAAGAATTTATTAAACAACAAAATAAAAGTAAAAAAAATATCTAAAAAACTCTTATCAATAAATTGGTAAGTAAATACAATATATGTTGATCCTCTTCCTCTCCTTTTGTACCAAGACTCATTTCGCCTTCACTCTCAGCTTTTTCAATTTTATCCTGCTTGTCTCTCGGTGTACGGTTTTTAAATGTTGTATGTTCCCGCCTCTTTTCCCTGTTCTCGTATCACCTGCCGGGGAACTCAGCTGTTTTCTCTCTGCAGCTGCAATTGCCGTCACGGCACTTCCGGTCCTTTCTTAGAACTACTGTTCCCGAGATGCTTCATTCTCTCAGTAGTTCTTGCTTAAGGTTTATTCGTTCCAACTGCTGTTCCCATAATGCCCCTGATCAGCAATCATTCTTGTTCCATTATTAGGAAAAGTCCTTAGTCGTAATAAATTACTCACAGTGGAAACTTATTGGTAAATGGGAAAAAAGGAACAGTGATTAAAGGGCAACATGCTTTAAATGTTAAATTTAAAATCTAAAGGGACGGCTATTATTCCATCTCTAGAGATTTAGCTCAATGTTAACCACTGTCATAATTACACATTTTTAAAAATTGTTTTAAATCTTTCTAGTAAAATTATCACCAAATAATATATATACAAATAACCACTACAAAAACATAGCATTAATTATTAAATGTTCAAGACAAAACCTCATTTTAAAAAACGTAAAATATGCTCATAAAAAACCTTTACAAAAAATGACATTACTCAAAATCAGCATTCAAACCAAAAGGGGTGATGGTGTTAAGATTAAAAATCCATTTCATTTCTGTTTTACCTAGTCTTTTAATTTCATCTTCCCCTCTCCAACTTAACTCCACTTTTTGGATACCAAAAAATTCCAAAAATCGAGGGTCACTATTAAATAATAATTTAAAATGTAGAAAAACATTATGTTTTTCATATCCCTTCCTAATATCTCTCACATGTTCATTGATCCTTATGTGGAGAGGACGCTTGGTTCTCCCCACATAATATAACTCACATGGACATTTTTTTTCAATTTGACAATTTTTATTTTATCAGAGAACATATTTGGGGTACAGAAAGGAAAAAAAGGGAGGGTATGCAGCTGAGGTACATCGCTCTAAGACACATCTTTTACATTCAGGAGCAAGGCTGGATATTCAACTTTGTGGGAGTGCCTCCCATACCCTTGTGACCATGGTCGTGCTCCTTGTCATGTTTGTCTGACATTTTAAGATGTAAATAACTTTCTTCGAGAAACATGTGGTCATGGTCTTTAATTTATATTCTCTTTTATTTTGGGGATCTATAAAGGAAGTGACATGTCTTTTGCTACTGCTTGTGCTTCTGCATGCTAGACACATCCGAAGAAACCTTGTTTTTGAAAGAAAGGGTTAGGTTTTTTTCTCTCTTATGTGGTTGTGAGTTAATAATTGTTTCAGATTAGGGCCCCCTCTATATATAATTTACAGTTGGTCTGGTAATATGTTATGTAGCATTGGGTCATTTCTTAAGATTGGCCAATATTTATTTATTATTTTCCTTATTTTATCACTGTCTTGGTTAAAATTACAAATAAAAGGTATCCCTTTGATTTCCCTTTCCTTTTTAGGTTTACATTCCAAAAGGGATTTTCGCTCCATCTCCCCTACCTCTTTTAAAGTGTTTGACAATATCAAATTCATTGTTAAATGAATAACCCATATTAGGGTTGACTCATGAAACAGAGCTGTGACCAGAAAAACGAAATTTGGATCATAGGCCATAAATAGGGGATTTAGACAAACTATCCAGTTTAATCTACTTCCTTGGCAATTAGGATCTGCCTATAGGTGCAGGCTGCCTCTCCTAGTTGCGTTAATGTATGAATTTTAAAGGCATATAACTTTATAAAAAACAATCTATGTAATTGTATATTTAGAATGCATTATCTATATAATGCAATAAAAAATAGGGTGGACTTTTTTTTCCCTTATTTTATAAATAAATTAAGAAAGATACATATTTTACTGTTACCATGGCAGTTCTATATTTGACTCGGGAAACCATGCAGCAAAAAAGGTAATGACAACCTGAGTTTGATATGGATTTTATCCTACTCAACCCCTTGAGAACCATGGGAGCTACGTATTTCGCACAAATTGAGATTCTCATCCTGGTTGCTCTCAAGGGATTAAAATGAACAGCAATATCTCATTCTTAAGACATTTAACTTGATTTCACGAAGCTGGTGTCTTTCTTTTCTTTTTCTTGTTTTTCTTTTCTGTGAAGATAAAGCATTTTTCTGAATAGCACAATATTCACTCTCGGGCGTAATTTAAAGTAAAGGATGAATGAGCGAGGTTTCTATAATTCAATCCTTAAAGCAGGGGAAATAGATTTCATGATTGAATAATGTGTTCTCCAAAATATATATATATATATATATTTTTTTAATTTCTTTATTATGGTTTTATCATGTTGTAAAATGCAGTTAGTTGTTAAACGTTGTGAAACTCGCAGGTTTCTTATGCTTGTAGGAGCCTATTATACATTGAGATATGCAAATTTCTGCGTCAACTTCAGTGGTTAGGAGACTCGCAGGTCTCTTAGCAAGGTGTACATCATGGTCAAAATATATATTTATAAATATATTGTTCTATCAAGAAAATCTTTAGACTTTGAAGGAACTCTCCAGTGTTATCAATAAATACCTGTATTTATAACACTGATGTGCTTTGAACACTATTCCAATGTAAGGTACATATTCACAGAGACACATACACACACACACAAGGATACCCACTGTCAAACACATATCCAGGTTCATGCCCAGGTAAACAGTGCTAGGTACACACACACACAGACACACTCAGAAATACGCACAGTTTGATACACAACAATGAACTGTGTGCCTTTATGTGTCAATGTGTGTGTCTTTTTGAGAGTGACAATGCTCTATCTATTGGAGTAAAATTCTATAAATAGGTGTCAACTGGAAGATGTTCTAGAGAATAATGAAAAATTACTATTACTATTGACATATAACTTATTCCCTTAGAGTCACCATATATAAAAAAATATCATTCAGAAAAAATGTCCTAAGCCCAATGGCTAAACCTCTTGTTCCTCTAATTTGAGTATTACTACTCTCCAGAGTTTAGACTTTAATAAATGTGGTCCATGGTTGGAGTAGGAACTAAATGATCAAGTGAGTAATAGTATAGATATACATCTCAGGAGGGTACCCTCTATGAATAGCTTATAAAGGGTTAATAAAGAGACTGACTACGTTTAATGGCTTTTCCTCATCTGTACCTCGATCCTGGAAGCACTGGTTTTATCCAGCCCCTTCACAGCCTTGGAGATTTCTACCTTGAGTCCCCTTGGCCTGTGTTTGATTGCAAAGGGTGCTTTAAAGGACCACTACAGTGCCAGGAAAACACTTGTTTTCCTGGCACTATAGTGCCCTGAGGGTGCCCCCACCCTCAGAGTCCCCCTCCTGCCCGGCTGGATGGAAAGGAAGGGGTTAAACTTACCTCTTTTTCCAGCGCTGGGTGGGGAGCTCTCCTCCTCCTCTCCTCCCTCTTCTCCTCCTCTTTGGCTGAATGCACATGCGCGGCAGGAGCTGCACGCGCATTTCCTATGGACGCTGGCGTCTTCTCACTGTGATTTTCACAGTGAGAAGCATGCAAGTGCCTCTAGCAGTTGTCAAGAGACAGCCACTGGAGGCTGGATTAACCCTAACATAAACATAGCAGTTTCTCTGAAACTGCTATGTTTATAAAAAAAAAGGGGTTAACCCTAGCTGGACCTGGCACCCAGACCACCTCATTAAGCTGAAGTGGTCTGGGTGCCTATAGTGGTCCTTTAACCCCTTAAGGACCAAACTTCTGGAATAAAAGGGAATCATGACATGTCACACATGTCATGTGTCCTTAAGGGGTTAAACTCTGCGTGTTGACTCCCATCTCAAGGTAAGATCATTACACAGAGGGGTTGAGGGCCCTGCTCAATGAGCTTACATGCTAGAGGGAGTGGGGTAAAGTGACACAAAAAGGTAAGGATAGTATTAGACTAATAACAGTTGCAAGAGAGGAATCAGTTGGGAGCAATTAACAGTTTAATTGATAAGCTTTTATGAAGAAGTGTATTTTTACTGATTTTTTTTGAAGGAGTGGAGACTGGGTGAGCCTCTAACACAGGAGGGAAGTGAGTTTCACAGAAACGGTGCAGTCCTGGAGAAGTCTTGAAGGTGAGCATCAGAGGTGGGAGTATGGACAGAAGATAGACGTAAGTTATTATAACCTAAGGAGGTTTATTCCAGATATGTAATTTTTTTTTTTTGTGCTTCAATAAACTGCCTGTCTTTATGGAGAGCACTATGTACTGCTGATTCTGTCTCTAAAGATTGTACAACTACAAACTGGATTAATTGCAACATGAATATTTATTTTTGTCAAAATTCTTTTGGACATTGAAGGAGCTTTTCACTAAGTTCAAGTTTATATTTTTCAGCTACCTACCTGGTAATTTAAGAATGTTTATAGAATTTTTTGGGTGTTTGGTTTTCTGTCCCACACCACCATTTTTTTTTCTTCTTTCCTACCCCAACCCTTCTTATCCTCTTCATGGTACTTCTGTCTCTTGTTATTAATTTTTCTAATTGTCTTTATTTTTTTGTTTTCCTTTTTTTTTGTCTACATCATTGTCCTGTCTTTACTGTATAGTCTGTTTGTGTGTTGACCTAGTTTTATATCCTGTGTCAATTTTGTTTTTTTTCTATTTGCTTATTTAATTCTGGGTTTTTTGGGCCCACATTGTGGTTATAAGGTGTGAATCATTTTATCTTATCCTTAAACTGAAAACTCAATCTGATTTTAAAAGAGAGAGAGGGTCTGTGTCCAATTTATGTTGTCTTAATATTTTCTTAATATTTTGACTGTTGTTCTTAGATTGCTTTCCTACGCTAAATAGAATTGTATGGAATGTATTGTATTCCCACAAAAGCATACAATGTAACATGTTCTCTCCTCTCTTTTATTTATTTTATCTATTAAAAATTATAGAAATAAAAAATAAAAAAAACAGGGAATATTTTGCCCGATGTGTAGCCTATAAAAATCTTTGTATACCTGATCCTAGTTTTGCCCTCTAATTTACAATAGTAATCATCCATTGGTTCTTGCAGGGTATTAATGGAACCTGTTGGTAAATGTATTTGATGGTATTTACAGAACATAATTCTTTAAGATATAGCAATTCACAAAGGCAAAAAAAGTGTGATTATTAGGGATCTCTGCTCAGTAGGAAAGTGAGAGAAAGAGAAAAATAAAAAGTGAAATTTTGATTGAACAGGCATATAGATTGTTCTCTAGATTGGATGTGATATAGCCCTAATCAGGCTCAATCATCCCATCAGTAGGTGTCCAATGTGTAGACACACAAATGGCTTTATTTTATTTTTTTGCGTGAGTATAGTGGCAAAAACTACATTTTCCACATTACATTATAAATTGCAGGTGAAAAAATCCCACAATTTCTTCCTTACACATTTTCAGCTCACCTAAACATTGTTGGCTATTCTTTATTTTATTTTTATTTTTTTCAACAGATTGCAAACCTTAAATAATCTGCTTAATCACTTTCTTTCAGACAGTCAATGATGGGGTCATTTCACACAGCTAAAAGCCAAAAGGTCTCACATACATTTAAGTTAATCATACCCACAGACTGGGAAGTCAGTTACAAAACTGTGCTATTAAGGTTCTTAATATAAATGAATGGTCAGGCTGGGTAGCAGAAAACCTTTGCCACTCCATCAGTTATAGACTACCTTTCCCCAAGAAGATCAATAAGTCATTTGAATTAGACATTACTTGAATTGTCAGCTACTATGGCAACAACGACATTAAACATATTAAACTGCCACTGTAGCATATGACTATAGTCTTGAATTATTCAACCTAGGTTAATTATAAATATAACAAATAACGATATCAATTTATAATTTTATGTTTGGGCAGAGCTTTGACAAATCAAAATGACATAACTAATACATTTTAAGAGCTTAAAATACAAAGTCATTATTATTAGCGGCTGATCTGAAACTCATTATTTTGATGAATTTATCATGCTTAGTTGATCTACTGAAATTTGGATGCCACCCCATGTTCTTCAACCTTCTGTTACATACTGTCCAATAAAGAGGTTATGTTTAATAATTGTCAATTCCCTTTATTAAGATTATGTTTATGTCACGATTCTGGGAACCAAACACGCCAACACACACACACAAAGTGCCGTACCGGACCTTAGAGTGGCCGGGCTAAGCGCACAAAGAATAGTCAGGAAACAAGCCGAGTAAGGGGAACCAGAAGACAGAATAACGTGAAACAAGCCGAGGTCAAAGGGTAGGAGAAAGTCACAAAGTCGGATAAACAAGCCAGAGAGTACGAAACCAGAAACACAAGGTAAGTAGCAATACTAGCAAGTAAAGACCACAACAGGGCAAAGAGGAACAGGAAAGGTGAGTATATAAATCCAAA